TCAAAAACTGGTTTAAAAAGACTCGCTGCCCTACCGAAACGAAGCCGACTCGTTCCATCTTTTCGGCATTATACCTTTTTGGCGGCTTCCAGCGTATTATAAATGTTGCCTCTCATGGACCTTCGGTAGATTCCTCGGCTCAATGCTCAAAGACTGAGTTACAAAACTCTGGAGTAAGCTAGACCCTTGTTAGTAGGTTTTTGCAAAACAAGCGTTCTGTATAGTGTTATGATCACCGTTGTCGAATTGAGGCGTCGTATGGGTAGATAGAATACGAATGATAGATTTTAAATACGGTCATGGCAAAGAAAACTGTCAATCGTTTTGTCAAGGGCTAGAGTGCAGGACAAAGGAAACAAAAAAACCTGAATCCTTTCATATAGAAACATTGAACCTGATACCTCGAATCCGATTTCCAAGCTTTTCATTCATTGCAAAAATATGAGAAACAGAAATATATTCATTATTCTTGAACCTGTTCATGGGGTTTGAAAAGCACCCTGGGAACAAGATTGAAAAATAAAATTCCACAAGACAGCCCCCTTTCCCCAGTTGTGATAAAATACTCGATATATCTCTTTTAATATGGCGCAGTGCGTCCAATTCTCTAACCTCTATCAATATGTTTTTTTCATCGAAAATGAAACCGATATGATTTGTTACTTCATCAAACCGAAAAAGTCAATTTTGATGCGCAAGCTAAAAATAAAGTACGTAATACTCTAAATATATCACAAGCGATAGAAGAGGGGTAAATGATTAAAAATTTGGATGAAGAAAGTTCATGAAATGAAGACATCTCGACACAAGCGAAATCCGGACAAATGTAAGAATGGTCATGATTCAAAAGGCTCAGAGGTAATAATCGAGAGGTATCGTTACAAAAAGCGTTATTGATATCTTCTAAAAAGCTTTTTCATATTTTGGTTGTTGTAGACTGAAAGATGCTTTCATATTCAAATGTTTACTTCATTATGGACATTCAGAGTGTGTTCTGATATCCCAGGGCTGGGTGAACAGGGGACTTGGAGAAAGAATAAAGGGGGTTTTCGGAGGTGTTCGAGGTTGTGGATTAAATTTACAGGGGATAGCCTCACTTTTTACTGTCCAAACAAAGAAGAATCATCATTTTCAATTATCAAGTTCTCTGCGTGCGCATAATCAAAACCCCTCTCCCTACCCCCGTTCGTTTACCGAGAGTAGTTTCGCCCTCTCCCCAGGTTCCTTTCATCAAATCTTATCCAAGATTATTTGGATGACGAGTGACCATTTCCTTAAATACTGGATCCTTTTTCAGCGAAACAGAACGAGTACGGTCCAGTGAAAAAATCAGTTTTTTTTTTCTTTTTCTGTTTTTGTACTTAACGCAAATTGCACTTCTCTCTTTTTGAGCCTTAGCGGAATAAAGTCGAAACGTTTCAAACGTTGTAGCAAGTAGGCATTTATAGATTATGCTAGCATAATTTTTGGCATACTTCGAGCTAACTGGCATAATTTCTGCCAAGTAGCAATGTTAGCATAATTTGCACATTTTGATCATTATCAGATCATTTTGGATGCCATTATTTGATAATTTTTTGTCTCTAGTCCCAAGCACTTGGTGACCTTAATCTATATTTAAAGTTTTAGTTAAACTAGTAGCCTTTGTAGTTCACTGTGAAGCACTGAGCCCGGGTCTAACCTGAACCACATGTTTATTTGAAATTCATTGTGGATTTGTTGCGTTTCTTTCCTGTAGACGAACGGCTTCTAGTTAAAAAATATATATTTTGGACTTATTTGCATTTTTTCAAAGAGCATAATTTAAAAAAACGGTGGCATAATTTGGAAAAAAGAGCATAATGTTAGCATAATTTGGCCAAAAAAAAAGCAATGCTACTAGCATAATATGCCACTTTTACTAGCATAATCTATAAATGCCTACGGCG